ACGTGATGCTAAGCAACCTGCGCAGACGGAAAAGAGTGGTGATGGCAGCCCCTCGAAGAGTGGAGACAAAATGGAGGGAAGTGGTGTGGCTCTAGCGCAAGGGACTGACCAGCCGGAGCGTCAGCCAATCGAAGAGGAGGTTTTGGCAGTCATCCAAAAGCCTGGTTTTCAAGCAGTGCCCCCTAGTGCTCTCACTAAAGACCTGGCATCTGATGAAGAGATGGAAATGGAAGATCCTCTCCAGATGCCGGTGGAAGACACGATTCAGCCTGTCACCCAAAAGCCTGATCTTCAAGCTCAAGCACCTAGCGCTCCCATTAAAGACCTGGCATCCGATGAAGAGATGGAAATGGAAGATCCTCTCCAGATGCCGGTGGAAGACACGATTCAGCCGATTGTTTCCACTGAAACTACACAGCTGGCTTCCGTCCCTCCGCATACTGAGGAGAAGAAGGAGGAGGTGGTAGAACCTCCTTCTAATCTGGCCGAAGTAGAATCACATCCAGCGCCAGAGGCTACTGAACTAGTTGGCGGCAAGAAGGCAAAGAAGGGTGGCGGAGATCGGAAGGGTACCTCGTCCTCCAGTGGCGAAAGCGCTGAACAACAGCAACAACAGCGGTCGCATCAAGCGTCAGAGAGTGCTGAACCAGCCGATGGTAAGAAGGCAAAGAAGACTGGCAGGAACCGAAAGGGTAACTCATCGTCCAGTGGGGAAAGTGCATCTGCCGTCACTCCTGCGGACGAACCGGTGAAGCAAAGTCCAACCCTTGAGGAGGAGCCAAACAGTGCTGTGCCTCCCAAAGGCCAACGACAGAAGAAGGGGAACAAGAGGACTTCCGAAAGCTCTGTTACTAAGGATGAAGGTAAACAGCCCGAAAAAGTAACTCCCGGAGCACCAGTGGAGGATGTCATTCAATCGGTTGCCGCAGCTGAAACCCTACAATCAGCTCCCGTTCCCGGGGCTCTAGCGCCGGACTTGGCTTCCGATGAGGAACTGGAGATGGCAGATCCTCTCGCCGAAGGTTTTACGCCTGTGTATAAATCACCAGAGGGAGAAAAAGAAGAACAACAGCCGTTGCCTCAAGCGTCAGAGAGTGCTGAACCAGCCGACGGCAAGAAGGCAAAGAAGCCTGGCAAGAACCGAAATAGTACCTCTTCGTCCAGTGGGGAACATGCACCTTCCACAACTCTTGTTGAGGAACCAAACAGTGCTTCGCAGCCCAAAGGCCAACGACAGAAGAAGGGGAGCAAAAGGACTTCCGAAAGCTCTGTCACTCACGATGAGGGTAAACAGCAAGAACAGCAGAAAGCGGCCGATCCTTCCCCCGAGGCGAAACCAGTGGAGGATGTCATTCAACCGGCCGCTGCCGCAGCTGAAACCCTACAGTCAGCTCCCGCTCCCGGGGCTCCACTGCCGGATTTGGCATCCGATGAGGAGATGGAGATGGCAGATCCTCTCGCCGAAAACTTTGCGCCGGTGGAAGAGCCTCTCCCATCTGTCCAGTCCACTGCCGACTCTTCTCCTCCAAACCTGGAGCAGCCGGTTGAAAAAGCACGAACTGAACCGCAGGAAAAAATCCCGGTGGCTGCTAAAAAAGACAAAAAAGACACTCACAGACAGAAGTCGAAAAGTGGTTCAGAAAGGGAGCCGAAGAAGGGACGACAGAGTCCGAAAGGGGCATCTGTTGGTGACACGGCAGGCCCAGATGAACCCAAATCTGAGGGGTCCCAGAACAGTGGCGAGCAGGGCGCAGGAAAGAAGAAGTCGTCGCGAAAGGAAGAAAAACCGCGGGTGGAAAAGCAGTCGTCCGATAGCAAGGTGAAACCGAAGCTGGAGGCAGGTGAAAAGGAGCCAGAGCCAGCAGTGGAGCCACTAGTCTCTGAACAGGTGACTACGGCTTTAGCAGCGGTGCCAGTGCCAGCTAGGAAAGCAGAAGAACAGTTTGCTACCAGCAAGCCGACCACCTCGCTCAGCGAAATCGCTGACAAGCTGGAGGAAGTTGTGGAAATTGCAACACAGAAGGAGCAGAAGTCGGCTGCTGCAGCTGCAGCTAAACAGAAGCCCGCTGGCAAGGCAACTCAGCAACAGCAGAAGAAGAAGCAGCAGCCAGAAAAGGTGCCGTCGGAGGCGCCTGTGGAGAGTGCAGACGGGCAGGTTCAGTCAGCTGCCGCCTCAAAGGCAGCAACCAAGGCGCCGAAGAAGACTCCAAAGCAGCAACAACAGCCGAAGAAGAAGGTTGCCAGCTCTCAGCCAAAGCCTGTGCAGGAGTCCGAGTGAGTCGAAAATTTCAGTCGAAAATTAAATTTGTTACTTTATATAGCTACTTTAATTAATGACGACAAACTCTACTTTCGGCTTTTTAATTTCCTTTGCAGTTAATTTCTGTGTTTGGTATAGATCAGTTTATTCAAGGTTTGTGGGTATAGATCGAAATTTGGCTCAACCTCTTTAGTCACTGCGTGATAACAGCTTAATATACGCATTTTGTCAGCGGTCAAACAGTAGTATAACTTTTTTTAACCGAAAGGCAGGCATCCCAAGAAATGTAATTTCATGGAAAGGCATCCTTTTCCCAAAGGATGCCTTTCCATGAAAGTAGTATAACTTTATTTTCTGATTTACCATATTCGCAGCGCGGCTACTAGCTAGAAGCTGTTGCTTAACGCAGCTGCCAGTGGTCCAGCCCATTAGTCCTTTCTCCAGCTTACCCTGATTGCTTCCGTTTTGGAAATTTCAGCTTTTTATTTTCCTTAAAAATTACTTTCTGTGCTCCGTATAGATAGGTTTTTTTTCAAAGTCTATAAGCGTAGACCCAAAGTGGATGTTTATAAACATCCACATATATATGTTTTGTTTATTGAAATATCGTCGTCCCGAGTGATACATATTGTTAACGATAAAGTCATTTAAAAAAGAATAAGTTTTATTATGTGAATTGTGTGGGTTCTCCAGCTTAGCCCGATCGTTCCCGTTTTTTAAATTTCAGCTTTTTAATTTCCTTTAAAATCTATTTCTGTGCTCGGTATAGATCCGTTTTTTTCAGGGTCTATAAGCGTAGACCCTAATTAGATGTATATATTTATGTCTTGGAATATCGGCATTCCAAGTGCTATATATCTTTTTAACGATAAAGTCATTTAGGAAGGAATACGGTTTATTATGTGAATTTTCGAGTCTTCTTCTCAGCTCGTTATCAGACAAATGAGAGTGTTGCAAAAAATATTAACTCAAAAGTATGACTAACACAAGATTCTACGGTGGGTCAGCGTGACCGCATAATTAAATGTGGGTGGCGACTATTTTCCTACAGGCTGACCCACCGTAGAATCGTGGGTTAGTCGTACTTTTGAGTTAATTTTTTGCAACACCCATTTGTCTGATGACGCGCTGGGGGACCAGACTCGAAAATTCGCATAATAAACCCTATTTTTCCTCAAAGAACTCTATCGTGAACAGTATATATATACAGTATATATACAGTATATATATCGCATGACCTGGACTGTGGCTTATAGTTTGCCTTCTTACCTTGCCACCACGTACTGTCATAGGTGCGCCGAGTATTCCTACTGTTTTTGCGACAATTACATTTTGCCAATGGCAAAATATTGGGAAGAATAAGAAGATCCGATCGCTAGGACAGTAGTCTTATTTGCCTGACCTTTCGACCTCCGTCATGGATTCTTCATCAGACACATGAGCAGAAAATAGTAGCAGAAACGGGTCAGTCGGTTCCAAATGCATTTCTCCCTCTGTGCATACCCTTCGGCCTCACAGCGGTTTGGAAGTGTTAGCCTAGGCCCCTGTATGCTCTCTGATCCGAGTAGTGTGGG